TAATACCATAGTTTTCATTCCGTTAGTCATTTGTTTTACGTAAACACCATGAAATACGTAAGATACGTGCGTACTTAGAATTTAGTTTCACCATAAACAAAAAGCGTTGATTTTCCCGTTTTTGTAAGCAGGTACACTTAGTACGTAATTGCTGCCTACATGAATGGCCTTCTGACTCATTATATGTTGTCACGGCCATCATCAAGGTTAATCCTAGCAAAAAAATAACTGCGATATTCATCATTGTCTATTAGAACACCTGTACAGATTTGATTTATTATAATCATTTAAATTGTCACAATATCAACTACATAGATGTTAAAAACAGGTTTTAAATTATACTTACTGCTACGGTTAAATTTTCAAGTAATTTTTTAATGTCATTTTTTATTAAATCGGTATACCTCGAAATGTTTAACTTACGGAATGAGATGTTAATTGCCTTCTCGATAACCCATAACTGCCGAAACATAGTTCTCCCATGCCAAAATATTTAATTTTCTCCTTGGATCATAATTATGCCAAAAAGACTGCACGGATGGCGTAGTGTGATCCACAAATTTGTTGTTCTGAGTCTGGGTGTTCTTTGTGTCCGTTTCATGTATGTTTGTAAAGTCCCCCGCGACACAGGATATATTCCTAATGCGGGAGGAGTTGTCTTTTTAAAAAAAGAAAAGAAAGACATTCCTTAAGTTTATTAAAGTATCTGATAGAGATATAGAGAAAGGTTAAGAATCAAATGCAGAACTGCGTGTTTTATCGACAAGTTAATTGAATTAATACAGTTATTAATCATTGATGAAAGCATCTGATCTATGAGATGCTCGATAAAATATAAACCAACGACTCAATACTCATTACGCGTTAAATTGTATCACAAGTTTTTTTTTTGGTATAGCATGCTAAGTGTTTAACAAAAAAAAATAGGCTTTACTGCATATTTAGGCATTGATCGAGATTTTGTCACGCTACAATTCTTATACTCGTAGCTTTGCCAATATTAATTCCCAAACATTGAAAATAAAACCTTAACCTAATTATTTTTCCTATTAGTCAATACTTGTGTGCGTTTATGAATAATGGTAGGTGTTCCATAAAACAAACAATTCCCATGATTGCACGTCTTTCCATGAGTAATTCTTTGAACCTGCAAAATGGTATTATTTGTATTTTGTTATAATTACTCATATCTTCCACTCACTTCAGTAGAATTTATAATAATTTATTCACTATTATGAACCAATTTTTAAGCTCATGACGTATGAAATACAGTAAATTTTGCTGTTCTCGGGGCATGCTTTTTTACATATAGGCCCATTTGGTTATCTTGTAAGATTCCTTGATTGAGAAAACTAAAAAAAATTTTAAGCGACTCCGCGGATTATCAACCGATTTCGATTTTTTTATTTGAAAGGGTACACGCCTGGTTGCTCTTATTCAAATATAATTTAAAATTGCACTCCTAAGGGAAGAATGAAGAATACAAGTTTAGCTATTAGAATGCATCACGATGTAGCCGCTTTGAAGTCGATGATACTTCTTTTAAAGTTAATTTACACATGGCAATCACTATAAATTACAATAAATTATCTATCTACCCGCTTTTGTGACAGTGTTGTAAACGTATAATAGCTATATTAAATAAATAATTAAAATAAAAACTACTACCACACAAACTTTTCTATATTATTTCACTATAGTCATTATCCCTTATAATAAATTAGCATAATAATAATATAATCATAATATAGCATCGAATTAATACGAATTCTGGCATATCACATATCACAGATATGTTTATAAATCGTACGCATTTAAAATTTCGCATAGTTATCGTTTGCGATGGTCGTGCGTGTTTGGGCGCATGCATGTGTGCAGTTATGCGCGCTGACTTCTAGACCGGAAAACGCTAGAAAGTGGCTTTTCAATTTACGAATAGCTACATAATAAATGCGTTTTGCGCCGATTTATCGTCGTTGTTGGTAAATCACATCTGTATTTATCGTGATTGATATCCTTTCTTGCGATGATTTACTCCACTGTTGAAGCGAGTGATGATTAATTTCTAATTAAAACTTTAAGTGAGAGTTTTCGGTTAAGTTTGCAAAGACTGCTGCCAGGCACTAAATTTGTAATGGACTATAACCTAGTCATCTGATACTGAGAGCAGGTTCATGTTTGTCGTGGGGAAGCTTTGAAAATTATTTATTTATTTTATTTTATAACTTTATGCACAAATATATGCATCGGCGGACTTAATGCTCAAAGCATTCTCTGCCAGTCGACCGATTGGGCGATGCAGAAAAAGAGTGAGGTAGGTGTACTTATGGGGAGGTAATTATGTGTGGTAGATTACGATACGCATTTTTTTACAAAGCAACTTAGCATTTTTTTTAAATTAATTACTGTCAAATATCTATTCGAGGAATCTTAAAAATTACTAGTTGACATAGAGACATGTGTCTGTATTCTGTAATACACACTTTACATCTTTGGATTTTAAGGTTAAGATGAAAGATTCAAGTCCAAATTGTCTACAAGTCAACGTCCAATAGTCTAATACGGAATGGTTACAAAAAAAGCTCTTTGCTTAATTATTTCTTGTAACTACAGCTGTGACTTCCCGGTACCTGTACCTAATCAGTGTAGCAGTGAACTTGTACAATTTCTCAGATAATAATTAAAATAATCATTTAATATTTTTTTACATTTACCTTTAAAAAATTCATAACAAAAGATTAGATTAGAGAAGAAGAAGTATCGCTTCGCGTGAAAATCGATGTGCAGCAGTATATACTTATAGTATTAGACTTAAAGCCGACTCCTAGCTAGTTTGGGAATAACGCTCGGAGGAAGAAAAGAAGTACCTATTCTCTTCTACCAGAAGAAACCACTTTATTGTAGCAAAATTGTCGTTTATGTACAATACAAAACCGAAACTCACTACCTATTATAGCATACTTTTGCTACAAAAAATAATAATTGCATTGCAAGTGTTTCAGGAACACACATAGTTCACCCATTTTCACCCACACACATAGTTCATTTATCATTTTCTTAGTTTTTTACATGTCATACATCCACGTCTATCAAATTTTACTCTAAAATAGTTCGTGATTTATTTGTGGATATGTATTTCCCACATAAATAATTACTTGGTTATATATACCATCAATATGTACTTCAATGTTTTTTTTTAATTTACCATAGATAAAGTGATTGTGTAAAAAAAAACATTTAAGTGAAGTTTTATAAATAAATAAAAACGATCAAACCGACCCTCTACTCTCTATTCCTGTTTTGAAAGTCGAAATATCGTGTCTCAATTATGATCTACGGTTAACTAAAGCGATCTGATGGCAGAGACTTGAGATTACGGTCATAAAATATGAAAGAAAACAGCCTACTGCAATAACGGACAAACAAACACTATTTGCTGTATAAATAGTGCTGTTCCATTATTTAATCAATTGCGGTATTATGGGACGCCTTCTGGACTAGTGATGTTCATTGATTGTTTCTTAGATACGAAAATAGAATCATCATACGCTTTTATGGAACTGTTTCGTAACTGAATTTGAAGTGTAAATCGTAGGACCTTTTGCAGTTTTGGTGAATAGAAAACAAGAAGTCTAATATAAATAATAAAAAATTGCAAATGTATATAGTCTAGTGTTTTTTTAAAGAATAGGATGACACTATGCCTTTGTGTACTTGTCTAAATGATAAACATATTTTTGAAATAGGTATGCGAATTTTAATATTCCTTTGTCTAACAACTGAGAGAACTGCCGACATCACAAGTACATTATAATGGTAAAGTTGTATTTACACGTACAAACAGCTTCACAAATGAATGAAAGCTGTTTACTCATGTGCTACGCATTACTACGCCATCAGCTCTACGGCCCGAAGACCAATAAACGTAGAGCTCCCATGGCTCCCCCAACTCCCCTAACATAGGACGACACGAGGAAAAACAAAAGAACGGTCGGAGCTCTTCTTCAAATGAAGCATAGAGGAGCGCCGATCTTCGAACAAGCGGTAGTCGCTTCGCGCGGTACGCTGAACGCACTCGTGCTTGCACCGAGCTTAGTAAACATCGTGACATTAAAAGCGTCAGTAATTTTAAATATCGAAGTGCAAGTGTTCTGAAATTAAAAATAAACATCTAGTGCGTTCACAAACCAAGGAGTTCTGTATTCCTGTTTTTGGTAAGATAATCTCATTATTTAAAAACCTAGTAAATCTATTTGTATCAGTACTTGTATTCCAATATTTTAATTAGCTTTCTTTCAATCGCCTTGCATGCATGGTTACACCATAATTATGCCTTACAGTCTTTTGCGTATATCATAAACTTAAATATTAATAGATATAATATAGTTATTAGTGGTGTAAATTTGAAATAGTCCATTTGCTTATGCAGCATAGTTATATACAAAGTTAAATATGACCGTTATAAAAATGGACTTCCCGCAGGTTTACATTCCTAAAAAGTGATTTCCTGTAATTTGTGAAATAGCATGAATTATTTCACGTTCCAGTCCACTCTTAATTGTCGTGTTTATAAAAAAAATTGCTTTGGAAAGCATAACGCGCGAGTTGCGTTCCGTTTCAGTGATTGGCATTCTGCTTGTTTTCGATTTATGGTTTGTCGTTGTTTGTGTATCAACTTTTATATTTATTAAGAGCGTCAATATTATTAGAAATCATTCCTCTAATTTATGGATATATAATCTAATAATCATGCGGTAATTTTGTATAAGCTTTTATTTGAACTTAGTGTTGTTATTAAATGGACTTCAGAAACCAGAATTTAGTAATTATAATTAGATAATAATTTGCTTCGTATTCATCAATATTTTTATTTTCTTAATGTATAAAAAACATAGTTGTAAATATAAAAGGTTTTTTCGAGTTCTATAATACAAAAAAAAGACAAGGATAATTTTTAAATATAAAAGATATACAGCGTGTTACAGAATAATGTGATCAGGATGTACAATATTATGGTTAGGCAGCGTAGGAATTAATAAAACTGAACTTAGAATTCAGACATTCTCAATTTAAACTTTACACCAATTAAGTTATCTTAATGAGTTAACAAGAATACTTGTGAAATAAAAACCTAGATTACGACAAGACAAAAAGAAACTGCTAAGACGATTTCAAAACCAATTTCCCGACTGTGTATACCGAACGACATAACATTTTTTTTTTGTAAATTGCATGGTATTGTTTTTACTTTACACTTGACTAGCTGGACTTGACTTGAAAAAGGAATCATTTTGAGGATAAGAACTTAACTAGCAGTAATTATGTTAGTGTCACGCATATTATATATTATCATAATGATGGTCATTATGTAGCATAAAACACTTTAAACTAAATCATCGCATATACAAGTAGGTATTCTATCACAGCATTGAAAAACTTCCGGTAGCCTGATACTTGGAAACTGACTCATTGATAAAATATATGGTGTGAAATTAAAAATTAATTAGCACAAATATCCTGTGCGACATGTGCCATTATTTTATTTATACTTTAATTCGGGACCCCAGACTGTTTGAAGAGACATATCTACTCTTTCAAATACATAGGACAACAAGTCAAAGTATTAGTATATATAAAGTATATATAAATTATAAGTATATATAAAGTATTTAGTATAGTCATAACAACAAAACTTATGGTCGGGAACAGTTTTTTTTTTTTTGAAGGCACAGAATATGCATTTAAATTTAAAATTCAATTGGTCGTCGACCGTCGACTCTAAGTGTATTTTTAAAAGATAACATTTTTAATAACTAAATAATGAATAATTGCCGATTTATAAGTTATTATAAAGACAAAAGGTTCTTAGCACGTATTACTTTCTAGTTTAATGTGATACATTTTTTTTACTTTATGGACAACTTGTACAAATTGGATAATAAAATACACATTAATTTTGACTATAGGGTATAAACTATACATTTCTCTCTCTTAGGTTTCCGAGTACGGCGGTGGCGCGCGAGTAGTTTGGGCCATGTCGGCGGGAGACCGAGAAGCGGAGGCTCAGGCCAAGAAGGGCGATGACGCAGGCTCTAATGACAGGGATAGCAGAGCAGCTGCCGCGCTGAAGCAGCACTGGTGTGTAGGACTCAGAGCTCTTGAGTTGGTAAGTGAACTCAAAAATACATAGATAACTGGCACCATCATCGACCGCCTTTAATAGTCCACTGCTGGATATAGGCATCTCCTTAGAAAGGAGGTTCTTTCCTACTATACCAGGCCAGACAGACGGGTTGGCATAACGTTCGTGTCAAGTTTTCTTATTCTTTGCAATGTTGTTGTCCTGCGTAGTTTGCCTCTTTGGTCGGCTCTTACTTACGATACCCACGGAATGAATAGGGGTTTTAGTCGGTTCTAGTCCGACATGCCACCGATATCCGGTGGCATGTCGGTGGTATGTGGTGGTGGATTTCCGCACTGAAAAAAAAGGGGTAGTATTCTTAATCCGTCACCACACGAAATGGCATACTTTCAAATTTAAATTACGTCAGTCATACAAAAAATTCTTAACATAATCATCTGAATAATAAATTCTCCGCAAATGACTTTATTATTTATATATGTGTATGTTTAAATTATATAATTATCTACTATATTTCCGGTTTTGTGTAGGTAAATATGTATAAGTAGGTTTCTTTATTTATATATTATTTACTGTATGACTAAATTTATGTTTATAATTAAGCACTTGTCATTTAAAGGTTAATCCGCCTTATGCATTTGCAGGAAGTGTAAATAAATAAATAGATTAAAGAACCGTAACTAAGATAAAACTTTAGCGTGACTGCACTCTCTTAGAAGTATTTATACTTTGTTCAATTAGGTATACAAACACATATCATAAGAAAAAAAATGTGACGTGTGTGTAAAAGTGAAAAAGCTATTTATGCTGCATAAAACCAAATAAAACATTTTTGGGCCTTCTATTCTACACCACTGTACGCGACCATTTATTATCCGGAATACAGGTCATGAAATGTATAATTTTACGCTTTAATCGCAAAACTAATAAATCCCATAAAACGTCAAAACATTTTCTAGAACACTCCAGATAAAACATACAAAAGCGTTTGAACTATATAATTGGAAATCGATACAAGTTGACTCGATAATCGCATGGTACTAGGTTGCTAGTAATTATTTGCTTGCATGGGAACTGACCGCTGCGTTTCATCCAAGACATGTTAATTTGTACCATAAGACCCTGCCCTTGTAATCAAAGAACGCTTTGTTGAGTTTAATTATAACCATGATGATTCTTGTATAGGAGTATAATGTTATAAATTAGACAAACAACATTTAGAAACAATAAAGGAAGGAAATATGCAAATAGTGACTGATAAAGTAAATTCAGATCAAGATAAATATGAAAGTAATGAAAACATGAAAATCGATGACAAAGTAGAAACAGGAAAGCAAACAATGATTAAAGAATGTAAGCATTTTAAAACAAACAACATACAAGTATGGCATGATACTTTGATTGTCTTTGTAGCATTAACTCAACAATTTTGTTTATGATTGTGAACAATTCTCAAAACAAGCATATTGCCTACAATTTTTAAAAGATTTGACAATGCTTACATTAATTTAGATTTGTGAAATGTATTCTTGCCTATATATCCCACACCTTTACCTATTACATATATAAAACATCGTACACATTGCCCAAAGAGAGATATTTCAGATTTAAATACCAAAAATTTATTTATTTATTTCCTGCAAATATATTGCATAAGGCGGACTTAATGCCTCAGGCATTTTCTTCCAGTCAAACCTTTGGGTGATGCAAAGCTGTATGTGGCAGGTGTATATTTGGGACAGGTAAAGATGAGACTGAATTAAGGAAAGTTACAAAAGCAGATAAGAAAAAATCCTACAGATATATAGGTACTAGGTAAACATACATATAGTTCATACATATAAATATCAAAATATAATATATAAAACACAATAAAGACAATAAAGAAATGTATATTAAAAACAACTTACAACCAAATGCTGGCTATCTGAATTAAAAATGCTAGTTGAGGCTAACCAAAATGCGAGAAAGTGAAAACCATATAATAATCATTTAAGAAGACGCTTGTGGTATTGGAAAGGCCATGCTTGTGGTAAACAACAGTAACTGAAATGAGAAAACACTTCTTGATAATGCGATCACCGCAGACGCATGAAAGAAACTTTCAACATTTATTAACTTACTTGCACTTAATTAATATTACGAGGTAACAATGATAATTCTTCATAAAATTAAATTAACATAATAATGAAGCATAATGCTGCAAGAGATTATGAATCATTGCGGTTCAATAAAGGAATTCAACAGGAATAATTTGCAATAAGTACCTACTTCTGTTTCCTTTGAAACTTTGATAATAACAAGATAGATAGGTGATTATGATTGTAAAGAACTATGAACAGTCATGTCCCTTAAGGGTCGTTACAAAGTATATAGAAACTGTGTTGGAAACTAATTAATAATAATTACGAGACACGTTTTAAACACGGCCATCTAACCCTACAGTAGGTTAGGCCTGTACAATGATATCCAGGCACGAATTTCTAAATACACGTTTCTCTAGTTAGTTAGTCCTAATCGAATACACGGCGTCTGGCTCAGCAATCACTAAACATTAGTAAAACAAGCCAATATTAAGTATAATTAGATTTTATTTTTTCAATTTTACTTTCAGATAATAGCTGTCATCGCTATCGGCCTAATCGTGGGTGCTCTCTACTCCCCTGATGTAGTGCAATCAAACCATAGGCACATCGCTCTCATCTACGCAGCATACTCCAGTAAGTCACACTTTACGTTATATTTATTGATTTAATTTTATCGGCATTAAAGATGTTACTAACTTACTTATTTGTGTAAGATATTTAGAAATTTCGAACAACAATATTCACGTTTCCAACAAGTATAAATATGTGCATGGAAGCATATCTCATTGAATGGCAAGTATTTTTGGAAGCTATTGTATTGAAACCATTCTTCCATATCATTTTTTTATCTTTTTGTTCAACAATTCGACAGGCATAAGAAACTGCTTGCGGTCGTCCTAAAAACAAGCTGAAACCATGACCCGATTTGTCTCAATAGAATTTGTATTAATCTTTCAATTTAACAATTGTCTGAAACGATTTTTCATGGTCGATCAAACGGCAAATCTAAAGCTGTAACAATTAACGAATTATCTAAAGTGGTTCTCAATTGGGCATGTCATGAAATGTTCAAAGTATGAGGCCTTTCAACATGAAGAAACTGACTAGCTGGGATGCATTCTAGATATATCTATATAATACATGTACATTCAATGCCTAATGTTGCCATGCGTGCTATTTTTGGAGATATTGTTAATGAATTTTTAATTAAGTGCGACAAGTGCAGATCCTACTTTTTATACTGGTATAGCTATTTTCCACTTGGATGAGTTGAGTTCATTGTTATTTGTAAAGGCTATTTTGACGTTTATTTTACTTGAAGACACGTACTACAATAACATTGATGTTAAAATAAATAAATTTCATAGTGTTCGGCTTCTAAAAAATATTTAAGCTAATAAAAAACTAATCAAAAATGTTACTACAGTTACAGATTTATATTTATGACTATTCCGTTTTTTGGTAATTTAATACGTGAAGTACGAGTATAATCGCAAGTCGTTTTTCTTAAATGTGGATCTAATCAGTTTCACTTAATGGTTTATTAGAAAATGAGGTATCATTGAACTTTGCGTGTGAAAGTGAAACCTGTAAACACTTGTCAACGTAAACCGTCAACCGTAAACCGATTTACGATAACTTCCTCTATTTAATGTCGATGGACTCGATTTATTGTTCACAATAATATTTGTAGCTTTTTTAAACGCCATTGGTTTTGGTTCGCGAGCTCTAACTTTGGATTGATTGAGGGTACCTGTTGCTATAATGTTTTAATTGATATCTTTAATTTGATTTTCATTATTTTATCTTTCAATAAACATACTATATAACGGACCTATTATAAAATGTCAGTTTTATTTTTCTTGTCACTGGTGACTCTATAGAGAAGACTGGCTACACTATTAAAGAACATGTTTAATATAGCATCAAACAATCAATTACTATCAATAAACATTTTAACGTTAATTTTACATTTCATCATCATCATCATCAACAGCCTTTAATAGTCCACTGCTGGACATAGGCCTCTTCTTAGAAAGGAGGTAAAGCATTAAAAATTAACATTTAAGTATAACAAAACTAATATAATAAGCAAAATTACTATTCCTGGTAATTGTCAGTCCATTGGTATTTTCCGTCACTTAAAAACTAACTTTGTATGTTCAAATCGCGAAGTTCTTTTTCATACGTCCTTATATAATATTTACGCTTAATAAATTATTTTTAACACAATCGATGTTATTTCTATCAGGTTTCATCATCATCACGGGCGTACTGCTCATCGCGAGGCTGTTCGGCGAGACAGCGGGATGGAGGACCTCTATTGGGTTCTCTGTTCTAGGCGTCATCATGTTTGTTGCTGCTGCTGCCGTTATATTCTATGGTGAGTATTTTTTATTTGATGTTTTCTTAGACATTTTTCTTTTGTTGTTGAAATTGAATACAACTTTTTTTTTTTATGAATTTATGTACGAGCAACACCAATACAATATCTAACATTAGATGGTTTAGATTTTTTTGGAAATACAATTATGGCTGTGAGTTTGTAATTCTTCGGTTCTCTTATTATCTTGAATTACTTGAATAATACTAACATATTACAATACCCGTGTTCTTAATGTTAACCGCACCTATTTGAATTTACCTATAATACATAATATTATATTTCACAAGGTAATCCAGTCGTCACAGTAATCAGTTAAGCGACGAAGCGTTAATTCTAAGACATAACAAATGCACATAATTCTTGTTTATTTAGCTTCACGTATTCTTGTCGTAACGGGTCTCACGTTCGTGAGGAATTTTCAAATATGTACAAACTACATTACTGATTATACAAATAGGTTGTGTAATTATGTAAGTGGTGCGCTGTGTTCTAAGTGATAAAGCTTTACTTCAAATTTACTCAGAACTAGTAAACAAAACGTGCTTAATACATTTTTTAAGCATTTATCGCACGGACTAATGTACGAGTATATGGTATTCTATGTTTGTATGACTCAACCCTTATCTGTGTGTGTGACGACCGCAATATTTTTAATTATAATATTCACAATATAAATTACTTCGTGCTTCTTTAATATATGGTCTTCATATTCTAAGTATTAATTTTAAGCCTGTTTTCTATCGTAGGTATGTTTTCGCTACTAGACTCAAAGAAAGCTTTTAGAGATATTTGTTTGTGTCACTCCAAAATTTAATACTTAAAATACCCTCAAATGGTTTAATCGGGCTTTCTTTGTACATTGTTTTAAAGTAAAGATAAATGACTTTAAACTATATAAACATCAGTCAGTTATATGAATGATTTATAATAAGAACCTCTAGTCAGTATTAAAATTGTACAATGATAATTTATATGCGCCATGCATTAAAGAGCCCACCAAACCTTTTTAGGATGGAGCCTTGGCGTTGTCTATTTAAAATTGTAGACCATTAGTCTATGGGGACTTGGTACGGCGTAACTTCCGTTTCTTTCTAATACAACTTATGATTTCGAATGAAGCATTGCTGTGGTATGCGACAAAAAATTACATAAAAATACTTTTTTTGTAATAAACCCAAAAATAAATTTGAAGTGTACCTAACTTTTATAGGAAGAGGCGGCAACATATATTTTTCGTATCTCACAAAGTAGACTACTGAAAAATATATTAACTCCTATGGTAATGTTGTCATAAGCTTGTTGTTACGAACTAATACAGTTAGATTTGAAACAACGTCGTTTAATCTCAATTTTATTTTATTTAATGTTAATTTTTTTTTACAGATTGGCACAGGTCATATTACGTGAACGTACGCCCGAACAAGCAATCCTACGATCTGCTTATATCTTCTGGAGTATTTGCCGTGATAGAAGCTGCAGTGTTTCTCGTACACGTCTTTATTACTTTTAAAATGGAGGCCGATTATTAAAATAAAACACAACTGTTCTACTTTTGACATTCACTAATATTGCTTTAAAAGCTGTTTATATTTTTATAATGTTTAATCTTTTGTAATTTCATTTAATTTTTTATTTGCGCGCTTTTTTTTCAGTTCATTATCCATTTAAGTTTTCTTGAAGTATTCTCAATGTATCATATTTTAATAGTTCCCTACTTATTCCAAGATATTTTTACTCTAGTTTTGTTTTAGAATATTATTAATTTATATCATAGATAAGATTTATTAATTTTGTTAGTTTTAAGTGTACATAAAAAAATAAAGTTGCCCCAAAGGGTAGCTAAAGCTTTTTCAAAACAAAATCCATAGTTATTGCCCTGTGTTGTAGCTAAATATTTCTGACACATATTATGATCAGGCAACTATTTCTCAAGAAATCAGGCGGCTATTTATTCTGCGAGTCAACCGGATATTTTTTTATTCAGCTTTAAAGATTATGGCAGCACGTATGACATATTTTTATTACAATTAACGTGGAACAGTTGGTTTTATTTTTATTAGAATGCAGACAACTTAATTCTATTTGGTATTCTATTTTTAAAAATGGGCAGTCTATTAATTGCAGCTATGATATTTAAATATTTTAAAGCAGCTATTTATCTTTTGATTGGTTATGTTAATCATTTAAGACAGTATTTTTTAGTATACATAATACGGCAGCTAACGCTTAATCCAAAATAAGTGGTAAAGGCAAAAATAAAATCTGGCTTCCCAACCTGGCATCAATTTAGGCCACAACTGGTAAAGGGGCAACACTTAAGGCTTTTGCCAATGATTTAAGCAGTGTATCACCTCCTTGCTGCCTTTTTTTTACAACTATTGGTAATATCTTTCAGCATTGCCCTGTATAAAAGCATACTTCAGGTTTAGCACAGGTTTGTTTAACCACTTTAATAACAGTGTAATAAAATTGTTAGAAACAAAATAAAACTGTTGTCCTTCCTAATAGCAGACAGCTTAGTTACGTTTTTAATTGGTAGCTTTGATCAAATTTTATTTTGCAGCTATTAATTAGACAACTGTTAATTAGATTTTTTGTGGCAACTTATAACATACTATATTCTTTTCAGTAATCAAAATATGTAAACACACAGCTATTACTAACACATTAATTCAGCTTTTATAAGTTTGTATTCGATTTCAAAACTTCGGCAACACATAAATAAAAAAAAACAATTAAATTTGACTTACACTTTTGCAGCACTTTGTATATTTTGAAAAAATATAATATATCGGCTACTAAACCTTTATTAGGCAGCTAACTTTATACAATTAGACAGTTTTATGCGCAGCTATTTCCCATTTTGTGTTTATCATTGTATAAGTGTTAGGTAGTGCGGGCAGCTTTTTTACTTTAAAGGATTAGTTTTAACGAATTAGATTATTAATATGTTATAATTTGGCAGCTAATTCCAATTAAGGTTTTTATGAGTTGGTAGCTATATTTTTAATTAGTATAATGTATTTCACATTTCAGTATTTCATTTAAATAAGGAGTTTATTATCAACGTCATGACCTCTTTACCTCTTTAGAAAAAGACAATGGCAGCTAAGTATTGGTAGTTAAAAATAAAAATGTTGGCCTTCTAATAATATACAGCTTCTTTAAATATTCAATAAGGCAGTTTATTTTAATAAATATTATAAACATTGTTTAATAAACTTATTTTTAATGGTCGTTAAGTTTTTATATTTGTTAACCAGCTAGTAGATTAGCTAATGGTGCTAATTCTGTTGTTCGAAAACTCTCTAAACTAAACTAAAAATCACTAAAAAAAAATTTTTGTCCTCTCAAATATTACGTTTTCAGAATAGGAAACGTTGTTTGACAGAACTAAACAAATTTTTAGTGATTTTTAGTTTAGTTAGAGTTTTCGGACAACAGAATTAGCACCATTATCAGGCTTATAAAGAAATGCACGCAGTATGTTTATCTTGATCAAAATTTAATAACAAATTAGTTTTGTTAGCTATAATGAAAATTGATGTCCTTTCAAATAAGTTAAAAGTTACTTTGGTTATTTTTATTTGCAGCTATAACCCAAAAAACAATATAGGCAGTTATTTTTTCAATAATAGTTTAAAAATACATGAGGTTATCATTTTGTAGCTAAATGTATGATTATTATAATCAACGATAATGTTTTTTGATAGATAAGGCAGCTTCATCAGTATTTTAAGTAGGCAGCTAGATTACAATTTAATTACAATATATTTGTTTTACATATTTACGATTTGTTATGACAGCTTTTTTATATAGAGATTGTAATATTGGCAACTAGGTACTTTAGTAGAATTTAGACCAAAGTGTCTGTTTCAATAGAAAATATTTCGGCCGCAAGTGCAACTATAAAGATAAATAAGATTTTCTACTAAAATAGTAAGAAAAATATGAGTTATCGTAATGTTGAATATGCTTTCTTTTTATGTAAGTATGTGAAAACTGAATTCTAGAAGAATGGTTTTTGTAGATTTTCAACAAGTTTTATTATAAAAATACTTTTATTATAATTAAAATAGGTCGTAAATTATTCATAAATATATTTAAATTTAGGTTATTATTTACTATAATATTTTTACTAAAACATTCCGATAAATTAAACTGATTTTCGTTAATGTATTGTTAACATAATCATAAGATCTTACCATTGAAAATAAAACACATAAAATCAGTAATTTGGAAAAAAAATAAAAAACAATTTAGTTCAATTATTAATGTTGGGTATAATAATATTTATTTATGATCAATGGTAAGACTAAACTTATTATAAATAGATGAAGCAAAACCACCGCTATTTCTTCATAATTAAAGTAAATATTTCCAATAGTGTGTACACTTTAATATAGTTCATTTTATATTGATTTTGTAATGGGTAATTTCTACATTAGCATTTTAGTTTAATTTATGTTTAAGTTATTTAGTTGGATGATAAATATTATAATTTAAAGGTTAAACCAAAGCAGTAATCAGTATCCGTCCAGTGTTAGTTAAGTTTTACTTCTATCAAATACACTTTATATCTTTCTTAAAACTTAATCTTTCTAAAAACTTCAACTACACTGTCATGATCTGATTAATTTTAATATTTATTTTTTTCTTTTAATATTTTATTTAATATGCTAATTATTTTTCCTTTTCTTTTCTTATTGTTTTTACCTAATATTAATATTTAAAGTATTGACGATTATTATTAAGATTGATGTTAGATTTAAAATTAATGTTAATTGAATATTTTTCATCATCAGTAATTAGTTTTAAATTAAGTATAAACATTATATAAATGTAATAGGCATGTAAATAAACATATATGTAATTTATATCACCGGCGCTAATGTTACCTTATTTAATCCCCATATTAATAACAATGAAATGGTACTCGCGTCATTCACAAACTAAACTCTGTTTCGATAAGGTCAAAAATATAAATCTCATGTATATGTGTGTGTGTAACAATTTTATAAATAAATGCATAATTAAAAGTTATTGTTTCTTTTGTAATGTTCTAAAATACCACCGACTTATTACAGAACTTTAAAATTATTTTTATAAATGTGCAGTTCAAAAACCTTTCTAAATAATCACTATTTTTAATCACAATGCTCATTGATAAATTAGTTAAAATTGAGGCTCTATTTTATTGCGTGTAGCAACCGGTACGGAAAAAAGTGGGTACTTGTACCTTTGTGGAATTTGTCGGACCGGTAACCATAGTTTTGAGATCTTTAGATTAGGGATGATTTAAAAGAAGTTTCACATTCGTCTCAGTGTAGATTTTTCTAGATTTAATATCCAGTACGATTAAAAAAATATTTTTAATGGATTATTTTTTGAGAAATTTTGGCTGGGTAACTGACCCTATGTAGGTTACAAGCAGAACACTATGACCACACATGGAGATGAAGCTGTAAAAGACAACTAATATGTCTTTATATACAAAAGTGGCGCGTCAAATCATATTTATTATACCATTAGGTCTACTTAGTTTTCATAACATATGTAGAAGAAGTATCCAAAGCTAAAACTTTTAACAATATGTGTTATAAAGTTAAAAATAATGTTAAAACGGTTACTAAAGTCTACAAGGTTCCAGTATGAATTTTGATGTTTTCTCATGGTACAAAAGTATATACAATGACGTTTCAAGTTATGCCCGACTGCGAAATAAAACAAGACATTCAAACTGCCGAAATTCAAGTGCCAGGCGATCTCTTGCTATTATATTTATTTACATAGGTAGTTAACAAAGATCACTAACAATCACGACAAAGTGTTGCGTATTTCTACTACTTGTCTAATTTTGAAAGTAATACCTGATTTCAAAATTAACCAACGTTATCGCCGTCAAACAAAGATGTAAAAAAAGCAATTACGAAACCGTAAACAATAAAGGTTCGAAATTCGACGTTCAAAGAAGTAGTTACCACACTTGCAAGTGACTTTACAGACTTCAGATAACATGTCAGGGTTGCGATAATCGTTTCTTTACTACTTAAGCTTTGGGTAGTAGATATATGTAGGTAGATACTTAATTACTTAATGGTTTGTCTTAGCACATACAGCAAGTTATGCTTTGACAATAGACAATAACCTCGGTTCAATAAATTCTAATTCGAGACTATAAATACTAAAAAAAAGATTTTTTTATATTGTTTTTGAATTATGAGAGTGGTCTCCTTTAACTGCAATACAGTCACTGCAACGCTTTTCTAACTTTTCCCGCCTGAGTAAAATCGTCTGCCTTGGAGAATTTATGTGATATCTCAAAGTAAATCTCATAATGTTTTGAATCATAGTAAAATACGAGTCACAGCAGAATATAGAAATTATTAAACTCATGTTTGTTACAAAAAATTGTGATTTTACTTAATGTGAATTCCGTTCAGGTTCTTGCATTTTGTGCGCAGTTCTAACCTAACCTAAACCTGGTCTAGCTACGCCCTGGTTAATTTAGTGTGTAGAGTATTTTTGT